CCACCGTGGTCGCGTTCTTGGTGACAGTCGGCGAGAGAACTTCCGGGATCAAGAAGATGTAACAAGTTGGAGGAAGGAAAACGCTCCCTTTCAATTAATAGAACGGAACAAGGCGGGGTACACGCGAAACCTTTCACGACAGCAATACCGGGGTGTCAGTCATTGACACCTCGACGTCCGGGGACAAAGAGCCTTGGATGAAGAGGTCAGAGGTGAGGGGGCCGAAGGGGTGTAGCGGGAAGGCACACCGAAATAAATAAGACATACGGCAGGAGTAACAGGACGAACCCGTAGGTGGAGGGGGAGGGGGCGGGTCCTGTTTTGGGATACGAAAACTGAGAATCGTAAAAGGAAGATGCGAGCTTAAAAATAAAACTGAGGGACGTGTACACCACGTATAGATAAATGCGTGGGCTCGAAGAAGTCGGAGTACGATAAAGGAAATAAAGTAAAAGGAAGTCAGGATCGGGAAGAGATGCTCCGGGTTTGCTATGTGGGCATAAGAGGGTGAGATAGTAATGCACGATCGTGCCTCATACCGAGTCTTGGTCATTACCCGCCAAGTCTTCTTCGTCCTGGAAGCCTTAGAGCCTGCCAGACTGGGATTACACCTTAATGCACCAACGTTCAAATCTTTTCCTTCTTTATACCTCGTCCTAATAACCGAATCCGATTCATAATTTTTTAGAAAATCTATACAGCGAGTCGTTAACGTCCTCACCAGTCAGACGATCTGGACTCGTTACGCGTAGTGGTGTTTTATCCAGTTCGAGTATTGGTACTACTTCGAGGAAAGTAATAATTCGTGAAATTGGCAAGGGTATTATATACAATTCAATTTACAGCGTAGATATAGTGCAATTCGTAATTTCCGACTAATACAGTAATCATATATATAGTATACATATATTTATCGAATCGATATAGTATAGGAACAGCTATACGTATAAAACGTATCTATCACGTGTAAGAATGATTAAATAGAATGTACGAACCAAGATCTTTCGTTCAAGCTAAAGTATCGCTGGAATTCTTTGACTGAAAGGGAATAGCCAGATTTCTTCTTCCTCGAAGGCAACCGTAAGCAGTCGACGGATACTCAGGTTGATTGCTTTGTAAAATGCAATGTGCATTAGGAGTAAGGAGTTGCAGGTGGTACGAAGAGTGAGAGAGAGGAGTAGGAGAATAAGAAAAAAAAAAGAAAGAAAAAAGTCAGTGGTGTCGAGTGAGATAAAACATATATATATTTATAGGTATAAGGCATAGAGGTATATGTTGACCGGCATTAAAATAAAAGGCTAATGTGTATACGACAGTTTGAAATATCCGTGCATATAATGGCTCGTTGCGTTAGACAGCAGTCACTGGATATACAGATATTCATAGCCACTTGACCCGAATGCGGCCTGCATCCCTGTGCAGTACCCACCACCCTCCTCTCGTTTCTCTAATAAAACGTAAAATACGAGGGATTACGTAATGCACTGCGATTTCTCAAGTACGCAGATTTTAGATGAAGCTTCAGCCTTGTATTCCGCGAAGCTGTACATTCACGCGTATCTAACTCATATACCGGCACGACGTGGAGCACGATCTTGGAGACTTGAGATAGCGACGGAAAGAGGGTTACGATAAGGAATGAAAAAGGAGAGAGAGTAAGGAGGAAACCTATCGAACACCCCTTTATCTCTAGAGCATCTTCGGCCGAGCGCACCGTGTGCGCGGCCAACCTCGTTAAACGTTACGAGCTGGCCTATTATTGGGTACTGGCTCAGAGTCGAGCAATAAACAAAACCACATGGACGATTTTATTTCGACCTGGTTATATCTGCTGTGGTTGGTAAAAAAATCAGTCCTACGCGAACACTGATACGACTTAGAGGTTGGAGTGAGTAGTGGTGGGGATGATGGAGCGTCGCTGGGGAGGGGGGGGGGTACGGCTGACTAGTAGGGCAGGGGCTAAGACACGGGTGACCCACACCCCTTTGCTGGGTGAAAAATGGAAAATCGATGACTCCATGGATTTTCGGAACTTCCATGCTGCCCTCTCGCTCTTCTCTTTTCCTCTCACTCGAACGACATTCTTCGGGTACGAAGAAGGGAAAAAGTTTCAAGCGACCGATTCTCCACTACTTCGTACTTCATGCTGAGTCTTTCGAGAGTACTTTGATTTAAATATGTCGACTATCTTTGGATTAGTATTCGTAAGTTTAGATATTGGCTTTTTTTAATGGACATTCCATTGACGAAGTATTTATGGGATCCGCATGGGGATGATTATTTTTTTTTTTTAATAAAAATGCGAAGCGTGAAACACGTGTATCGCGAATTTTAGAAATTCACGACGAATTACCCAGTGGCGGATGACGTAGGGACGTTGGAAACACGCGCGGATGTTGCGCCTTGGCGAGAGTCGACGAGCCGTCCCGATTGAGAAATTTTTAGAATTCTTAACAGCAAATATCTCGGGGCCGCCGGTGTCAACGTTTCCGTGGAATTCAGACGTCGCGCTTCTCAATTATCAACAAATTCTGCCTTGGGTGCACGGACTAACCGCTGGTGAATTAAATTTCCACTGTTCAACTTATGCTTAAGAAAATTATTAATCCCATTTGCATCTCTATTGTTCGATCATTTTTCATAAGAGACAATGTATATGCCGGGAGGCTCAATTTAGAAATATATCGATAGAGGTCTCTGAGCTTGCAATCCCATTAGAACTGCAAGTAATTCGCTCCGCATAGATATTGTTATTCAAACGGAATCGATATATATCGAATCGCGTGTATATTGACGTGAGCTCGAGATAGAAGTGCGCACGAGCGACTGAGAATATCAAGACTGTAGGATTACTGAACTTGAGGGAGCACTCGATGGGAGGAGTCTAGTATCAGGAAAATCTGTAATTAAGTTTCATTTCCCCTGTAGCCGCGAACGATTAAGTAAATTCAAAGGAACGCTCCCATTGGCCGCGGGCGATACCCAGGCCCGTGCACTCTGCATCTTTTATTAAATCTCCTTTCGAAGTTATTACGTATATCGGGAGTATACTTAGGTTCAGCCTCTTAGCCTCTGATCAGCCTTTAAAGGAACCGGCCGATTGGATGGCGCCCTCTTTACGGCCCTCCTTCTCGTACCTTTTAACGTTCACCAGGACTAATTTGTAAGGAAAACAACGATCGGCCGGGATGCTAAAACTCCCCCTGAGATAGCTCCAATATTCGCAGTCCAATTAATTTCAAAGAGACACTATATAGTCGCTTCCCGCTTACTCGACTTTAGGGCTAGAAGATAAGACGGCCTACCTATACTCCTTCCAAGTCAGAAGTACTTCGTTAAGCGTTAAAACTCGTCCAACTTATAGGACACTACGCGGTATACCGAAAGTCCTATATATTCAAGGAAACGTGCCAAATGGAAATTCGGCAAGGCTTTCCTAATATATCACAGAGCTGAGTGTAATTTTACGCTAGGTGTAGACGAAAACAAATATTACAACAATGAAGAAGGCCAAGATTATTTTCATTGTATATATCGGCAGATCATAAATCACCGACATATAAAATAACAAACAACAAGCCACACTATCGATCGATAAGAGAAAGTGATCCCGGTGGTCCAGGATGGACCATTAGAGAGTAACCGAAGTAAGCGTAAATACAGTATGGCCTGTGTTAAAGCACTCTGCATTGCTTCTGCCACGGTAAGATAATAGCAAGATAAGTGTTTTCGAGTAAACGCTTCGATCTGTAATATGCCAAGCATCACAGAGTTAGTGGGCGTACGCCCCAGCATCATTGCATAGTTCCATTGCGGAACGAGTATCCTTATAACGAGAGTAAATCTGTTTCAGCGAGGAAAGATCAAACTAGAAAATGAGTTAATAAATACATGATAAACCGAGTTAAACCATCAGCGCCAGGATAAGTTCTGGAAGAATGATTTGGCTGAGGGAATTCATCGAATGTCGACTTTACTCGCAAAGGGAATTAGAGCGAAAAGTTCCTTGGCGAAACTCTTTCGTTACAAGAGTCTGAAAAGGGGCCCTCTTTTGCTAGGCGGGGCGAGCCAGCACGAGAGCGACCTCGTAATAGGAACGCGTTGTTAAAGGGATGCTCGAATTAATCATAATGCCGTGAAATAATGTTCGTCCGTTAAAGTTGAATCAGCATTAACCTACGCAGGTAGGTGCCTAGAGTGAGTAAGGACGACATTCGTATCCGCTGATGGAACATTACACAATTGCGAAACGCTTGGCTATTCAACTTACAATTAGCGTTAGGTCAGAGAGTCCAATCGATAAATGAGAAACGTGTAAGCTGGACGTACGGGGAGGTAAGATAGTGGGATAAATATCCAGATTGCTGGGGAAAAAGATGAGTAAATAGGCGAAGGATTCGGGAAAGGACTTAACGGTTGGTTAGGGATGAGCACGAGGCGGGTGGTAGGCGCCGTGAAATGTTTGGAAAAAATGACGGATGGTCCACTTAGTGAAAGGAAAAGGGTAGCTAATAATTCCATGGTCAGCAGATTGGAAACATTTTAGTGACAAACGGTCCGAGAAACCTAAACGTAGGACGCCCACCAAAGAAGTATCTGGATAAGAAGGCAATTAAGTAAAGGGAAGATCCTTTCTTTTCAACATCCATGTTCGGGCTCAAGCTTTAGGTATGACGATAGAAGAATCAAATTTTTTCCCCAAAAAATGGCTATAGGTCCAATGAATCTGAACGTCGGACACTTTGTAGATCGATACCTGAAAAGCAGATAAACTTATTTGTAGGTTCTCGAATCCCTCCAAGAGAGAATAATTAAGGGATAAAAAAGGTCCTGCCTAGTCATTAGCGTTGTTCGATTAGATATCAGGATGGTCGCTACCTATAGCTCCTTAACGTGACGTCATGGCAAGTTTAAATGATCTGTTCTACGATTTTATAATTTAATAGTCAAATTATACCTTATTAAGGAAATTTTAAGAGTATTCATATTAATTGTTTCAGGTAACTACTGTGCCAGACGAAGGTGAGGACGGCTTCAAGATGCCACGAGCATCCGTGGTACATATGACGTCGACGGCCACAAGGCCGCAACACATGTCCCAGGTAATACATGTATACGTAATTGAGAATCCTTTCAATCGAAAAGATATTAGGAGACGTCCTGAAAGTGGGATCTGCGCATTCGTCCGGAGATACGCGCTAGTTCTCCAAACAAGCTTCAGCATCGATTCGAGGAGTACATACTGTCTCTCTTTCTCTCTGGACTCTCTCCGGTCTTCAGTCTCTCTGAACGTTCCTGCCATGAAAAGAAACGGAGTACCTGAAATTTTCATTGAACTCCATCTTCGGTGAAGTTTGGCTCGCAGCCATATTGAAATGCAAATGGCAAAGATAGCCCTGGGTTAATTGAGTGGTTCGGCTTAAAATGCATAACCGAGCACACTCGGTGCACGTACGAACCTTGAGTCTCGTTCTCTTTCTCCGCCTACGTATAGTCAGTCTCTACAGTATCCATTTCCATAATACGTCACGGATTTTTATAACTTTTTATTCCACCTAATAGTTTCAAGCTAATGGCTTTTGGTTACCTTCACTGGAGGGGCCATCGCGAATCGCCATCGTATTGTGTGCTTGCTAAACCTAGTATCGCAGCGTGACAGGCTGCACGAGCTTTTAACATTCCCCCCGTTACCGTAAGCTCAGGGATCAAACGAACCTGAATGCACTTTTTGACATTGCCGAGTTACTGGCGCGCACGTGTGACTCTGCAAGGACTGTTGCTATTTTTGAAATTGTTTTTTTGCACTGGACCCTTTTATCTCGTCGATGACGTCACTGGCATTTTTAAGAGCACTCGAAGCTTATATAAAATTTTTTTAAAATAATTATAAACCTTCATTAGCCCTTATTATACAGTTGACCAATAAAAGGAGTATCTAATCTGTATATAGTATTCACAAAATTTAAATTTTCCATAGCTGAACACATCTACTCTTAAAATCCATGAGTGATCCGCAGATAGGATACAGAATCCACAATCTATCGGTGGTTTGGATTACGCAAATATTCGTTACGGGTAATTTCGATCCCTGTGACAATTCCTTCATAACGGATAGGCGGGCAGCTGTCTTCCTGAGGATATCCTTGTGGCTATACTGTTTCGCGATGCTCTTGTCCCATCTCCCTGATGATTCAGCTTCTGTACCTCATCGCTGGGTCTACGTGTTTCTTGAGCTGTTCTCCGTATCCGCGACAGATTGGCGTCCGGAGATTAATCCAAATGACAATGCCGGTTATCCTCACTTTCAAGGTACTGCACAACGAACAAAGCCTAAGGTATACAAAGCACAAGCAATGAACAGTTTCTTTTCGACATACTTCTGAATCCGAGTAACGATACAGAAATTGAAACACGTACCATAGTACAACCTTTTCCCACGGTACGGTAGTGCTGCATTTTGATGTTTTCAGGGTGTATATTCATTGTGTCAGTATCCCATGACAGTATTCATTCAAACAATTTAGACATTGTTTTATCTGGAGTGTCGAGTTGCTTTCTTATCCTGAGTATAACATTAAACATGTTGGACGCCTGGAGGCGCAGTACTTGGTCCTCGATGAAACTTGCGCTCGTCGAATACGTCAGCACGTAGACGCAAAGGCAAAGTGTGACTTATCGGTCGATGAGATAATAACGTATCCCTTGATTCATGCCGGTTGACGTTTCTGTAATTAATTATTAATGAGTTAGATCCATTAAGAAAATCAAGGAGCCAACGGATACTCAGTATGAACGACGCCTGCTGACAGAGACAGAGGTGGTCAACTGTTAGTTCCTATTAGCTCTTTTTCGAAGCACCTTCGATATACATATAATATATCATTCTCTGACGAAGAAAGCAAACCGGAAGTCGAGAAAGGCTAATTAGCCTGCATTAGCCCGATATTGCTGTATAATCGTTTAATCAAGTTCTGAAACGAGATCAGGGCGCGTCGACAGCAACACGTTCTTTTTTAACACTGGCCTCGCCTGTTAGTAGGTACAAGACTCTAGTTAAACAAATAAAGAAACGATCCGTCCTGTAGAAGTAAACGTGACACGCGCGACACGCGATTCAATGGTAAGACGGATAATTGAATGCATATGCAAATGCATATGGGATCGGCTATGCAACTCGAACCCCATATATAACGCTTAAAATTCCTCTGGACAGATACTTTAAGTGTAAATACGTTCATAGGTGTGTGCATATATATACATTTAGTCAGATGCATAAGAATATGATTGCCATACGAGAGAAGTCTCCACCATTCCTGAGTATACCTATATATGTCATGTATGTACGCATACGAGTCGCACGACGTACTGTACTATATATGCGGTAGTAAAGTGAGGGTGGACTTGCTGTGAAATATCGACGGAATTTATAACAGGTGCAACTGGCAGGAGTTTATGGATGGCTTCGTAGTTCGTACCTCTTTGCGATGGCAAAGAGCCGAAGAAAAAGGAGTATTCACGAGAAGAAAGGATATATTATATTTTCTAGGTGTTTCTCTGTTAAAATTCATAAGTGGTCGTACACGTTACACTGAAGTGACACGTATCACTGAAGATCAATATTGAACTATAAGAGATGAATAAAAACAATCTATTGTCTAATATAAAGTGTGAAATATACTTCGTACAGAGAACCGTACCCTGATAGCGTAACCTGAGAGCTATATGTATGTACACCTTCAGCGGCATACCGACCTTCTGTTTTAGGGCGTACACGCATGTCCATTGTCGTAGTGTACATGGGTAAGAGGTACAAGACACTGTAGTACGTTGATGTAGATAGGTTTGTAGGTGGGTATAAACGTGGACGAGCAGAATGTTTAGTATTCCTCGCAGGAGGTAGGAGCTCGGCTTTCAATTTGCGGGCCGCAATTTGTCCAGAGACACCAGGACAATACAAATTCGCACCAGCAAACCCACCGTCGTGAATCTGCATCCGAGCTACCGGAAGAGCGGGCTTCCTTCCGTGGTTTTGCGTTCACCTTGATAGTACGGCATGCGCAGTTAACAGGCATACAGACTGAATGGCGTCGATCTCTCAAATTGAAAGGGAGCTTTGAAAAAAAAAAAAAAAAAAAAAAGATTGGCAGATCATGGCCAATGGACCATATGACAGCAAAGAAAAGTCAAGTCAAGACGAAGGCTCATCTCGAGTGTTCGCTCAGCTACTTCAAGGAGCCATTCCAGTACTTTTTTACTTCTGTTCTCATCGGATGATGCGATACTGATTCGCGGTTCTCTTGTCCTCAGGTCCTGGCAACCCTGGCACTATCCATGGGAACACTGGCGTCTGGCTTGGCCAAGGGTTACACGTCGCCAGCGCTGGACTCTATTCTCGACAGTCAACCTCATCTGTATCACTCAGCGAGCAATGACACTTGGTAAGTACTGATCTCGCAAATAGCAGTGAATATTAAGATAAGACGAATTGAACTCGCAGCGGTAGTAGTAGATGCTCACCATAGTCCTGGTTAGATCGGATGACACCGCACCCTTGGTAAAATAATTGTAATGGCCAAGGGTGAGTCACAGACAATTCCACTCCAGGAGATTGGGACACAGAAGTCGAGGCTCCGTTAAAACAGTTACTAATCTTGTCGCAGGTCAGGATTCTCGGTAACAAAACAGGAAGCTTCTTGGGTAGCATCCCTCTCTATGCTGGGTGCCTGTGTCGGCGCCATGCTTGGCGACTGGATAATGCGAAGGGGTCGCAGATTGGCACTTCGCGTCTCATCCTTACCCTTGACCGCCGCCTGGATTCTGACGGGTGTTGCTCCCAGCGTAGAGCTCGTCTACACCACGAGCTTCTTAGGTGGTCTGTGCTGCTCCGTCATCATGATGGTCACTCAGGTAGATCCGGCTTCTTTATGGAAAGGATGGACGCTAAATACCATTGATTTTATTCTGGACGGAAAGTGACAGAAAAAAATAATTTCATGAAATCACATAGGTATACATCTCGGAAATATCAATGCCAAGTATAAGGGGTTGTTTATCCGCAATGCTCAAAGTCGTCGGGCACGTGGGGGTACTGCTTTCCTACATCGCCGGGACGTATCTGAACTGGAGGCAGAGTGCCCTTCTGGTTGCAGTGGCGCCACTGATGCTCTTCCTTGGAGCACTCTTCATACCGGAAACACCGTCCTATCTAGTACTCAATGGTAAGGATGAGGAAGCTGCGCAGAGTCTTCAGTGGCTACGTGGCTCTCACGTCGACATAAGGCACGAATTACAGGTAATTCACCTAATTCCAGGCATACCACTGACACGAGCCAATTCAGCGACAATCACAAGATCCCATTTTTAATTTCAGGTCATCAAGACGAACATCTTAGCCTCCAGAGCTAGGCGATACGGTTTGACGTTTCGGAACAGCGTGATGACCCCAAGACTCTACAAGCCCATTGCCATAACGTGCGGTCTCATGTTTTTTCAAAGATTCTCAGGAGCCAATGCATTCAATTACTATGCAGTCATTATATTTCGTCAGACCTTGGGCGGTATTAATCCTCACGGAGCGACAATAGCCCTTGGATTTGTGCAGCTGCTGGCTTCCCTACTGTCAGGTGCTGGTCCAGTTCTTTTTTAATACTTTTATTCAATCACAATTTCTCCGAATGATTCCCAATAATGGCAACCAACGAATATCGCAGGATTCCTCATAGACATCGTAGGCAGGTTACCACTCCTGATAGCCAGCACAGTCTTCATGTCACTTGCACTGGCAGGTTTCGGAAGCTACGCATACTACAACTCGATGTCGCAAACGCAAAATCTCCCATATCCCGATCCGTCCGTGATTGGCCAACACGATTGGATACCCCTACTCTGCGTGCTGGTATTCACGACGGCCCTGGCGTTGGGCATATCGCCAATTTCGTGGCTATTGATTGGCGAGCTGTTCCCTCTCGAGTACAGAGGACTCGGCTCCAGCATCAGCACAAGTTTCAGCTACTTCTGCGCCTTCTTTGGGATCAAGCTCTTTATGGACTTCCAGCAGGTGAGGATCGTCCTAGTGTTCTGGCGAGAACACTGCCAAGCCATTCCCAGATCCTGTTCATCCTAAGAGACGCAGGCAGCCCTAATGTTTTTTTTTTTTTTTTTTTTTTTTTTTTTTTTTTTTTTTTTTTTCATTTCACAGACTCTAGGTCTGCACGGGGCATTTTGGTTCTACGCTGCCATGGCTGTTTGCGGACTTTGCTTTGTCGTTTGTTGCGTGCCAGAAACCAAAGGGAAGCAACTGGACGAGATGAATCCGGACTACGCCCAGGCTCGGTAGTATAAGGCCTCCCTCACTGGAGGGTTATCCAACTTGGAGAAGACTAACAAACCCCTTCCCGGCGGGGCGTATCCGAACGAGCACGATCCTCGTCGTCTTTACGTACCCGGAAGCGCTGCAGCCGGCAGTAAAGAAATGTCCAATGGTTCGAGCGTCTTACCGGAGCGTGGCAATCGCAAGCTCGCCGACTATTGTGGCTTCATTGCTGAGAAGACCGGTAGAATCGGCAAGAATATCGGCAGCTTCATGCAGTCGAAGGGTCTGCTTCCTGCGCGTAATGAGGAGAGAAGCGACGAGAGAAATACGGCCCTTAACTATAACAATGGATTTACCAGCGATACTGGACGCAACGATCGATGGGTTCATCCGAATAGCACTAGACCCAGTCGACCCGCCGAACGCTTTGATAATGGAAATGAGGCTAGTGAGAATAATGGCTGCAGAAAATATCGCGATCACAGAAAGCATGGAAAACATTTTTATCCTAGAGATACCGTAGCTCCGAGTAAAACTGACCATTTGAAACAGGGGGATTGCGCTCTGATCAATTACAATGAGTGTCCTCGCCGCGTCCACCATGAACGTCGTCAGGAGCTGGTACCGTTCTCCAGGAGCACGGATGATCTTGAGAGAAGGGTCTACGCCACTTTACCAAGACGCAACAGGACTCTTGGTCTCGATGACTACGCTTATTCGGACGATCGTTATCGGGGATCGAGGTGTCCCAAGAGTCTTCAGGATCTCACGGATATCGAGATAGAGAAGATCATCGCCAGGAGCGCCGGCCATCCGAACGTGGATTTTTCCCTGGCTAAATACTCGGCTGCCAAAAGCTACAGGAGGCACGCGGAAGAGGAGAATTACATGAAACTGTATAAAAGCTTATCGAGGCTCGACAGGAGTTTACCCAGAGGAAAGTACGCACCCGGGAGAGTGCATTATGAGAGAGAGTACAGGATATATGGAAAGGACACGGTCGCTTTGATATATTACAAGACATGCTACTTGTGATGGCCAGGATAAGACGAGTATCGAGAATCACTCAAGAATCGAAAGATTCTTTAGGTTTATTTTCTTTTTTCATACTACGCCATATTCTCAAATGTCTTTTTTCCGTTGCTTTCGATGAATCCTCAAATTATAGAGAATCGAAAATCTTTGGCGTTTACACGGATCTAAGACGATTTCGAGTAGACGCAGTTGTAATGTTGAGTATTTACAAAAAAGAAAACTTTTCTTTTTTACATCATTTGCCAAGCTCAATGACACGGTCTAAGTACTAGGATACTAATTGCGTTTTCGATGCGGCAAGTATAAGAGTCTCTGGGCCCGGAATGAAATTTTTTAAATTTTCAATTAACGGTAAAAGGCTAGAACTTCCATACATCGTGCCTTTCTCAAAACACGACAATACTATACGTTTAATGATTAACACGTTAAGGAGATACTATATGAGTAAGCGAACGTCAGGAGGATCTTTAGTATATAGGTTAAAAATATTATTATTACTAGCGTAGCGTCGTCTACTACTCGTTAGTAGCAGATTACTACTTAAAATTAATGCAACAGGGTCATCGTCAATGCCGACCGATCTTACCGTCATTGCCAATGATAACGATTGAAATTCGAAACGAATCCTTTGAATGTACCACTAAAAATTTTTCAGACACTTTTATCGTGTCAGAAGAAATTCAATGCACGGACCTATTGACCTAATTAGACCTTATTCAATTTCGTAATCGGCTTCTATTCAATTAATATTCCTTTGGGTACGAAAAGTTTTATGAATTTTCATTGTTAACGACAGCAAAGATAAATCGCTCGTTCGAAACGGATCTGTACTAGTGGAGGGGCCCGCTTCCGGATTGAACGTTACTTAAAGAAACAAGAAAAAAAAAATACATTTGCAACATACCTTCGTCGTGGCGTGACGCTAAGAAAAATTAGGAGGAAAAAAAAAGTAATATTAATTGATTTGAAATTGGCGAGACAAGGCTTCCAAAAAAACCGCCCCGACCCGACAAAGGCGAATGACTTAAATGGAAAAAAAAAAATTATATAAGAAACAACCACGACAATATCAATTGTATAGATATATATATCTATATACATAAAAATATATATATACATATATTATACATATATTATATTTCATATCAGATAGATATTTAAATGTATATTGCCTATTGTACATTGTACGTTTAGAACGGAGAAAAAAGAACTAACGACAATATTAACCATTGCCAAATTAATGTGAGAGCTTTGGAGAGTGTATATCCAAACTTATAAAAACCTATGTATAAGTAATAGGACAGTTATAGAGTTCAAGCGACACTAACGATATTCTTGAGGAACAAATTCCAATTATAATTTTCCCCTATTCTTCTCTTTTATCTCTCTAATTTTAAGTATAATCACGTGCAATTCGAAATTCCGTAAAATTTTCGAGCCCTAGACAGTCCCGCATGATGGCCGCATATCTAGATTCGCGGTAAGACGTTTTATATTTTTATATAGTTTGTAGAGGAAGCGTCCGCGAACTCAGTAGCGTACGGACGTGGATTCGCGATAATGATTAAAATTTTTTTTTTTTTCAATTTTTCAATTCATCACACCAATAGATTTTCGATTATCGCGAATCAACGATCTGCACCGTAATGAGAAAAATTCTATCCATACGTATATACTATATATATATATCTTTTAGAAAACCCGTGAGTCATATCCCTGCCATATCCGACTTTCTTAACAAGACAAAGAGCGTCACCATGTATATATCTTAAAAAGCGTGTATGTACTTAAGCAAAGCAAAGAGCGGAAAAAAAAAACTTTTCGTTATACAAAAATAAGAGGACAATGCGAACGTAGCTCACGACGGATGGATATTTGGAAAGATTAAAAAAAAAAATTATAATTTCACATCGAGTAACCAATACGTAAAATTGAACTCCAGTAGTAGGTACACATCTATAACTACGAGTAAAACTCGGCATTCCTTCTGCGAATATCGAATTCCTATTGTTCCAAGGGTGGAACTTGTAATCTGAACTCAATCCGTGGGAACGACGCTACTTCTGGATACCGTCCGCAAGAAGCTACCTAGGCGTATAGAATAATATGTGCAATGATCTTTCATGGGACTGGATACGATCGTGACTTAATGGGGTAAGAAATAACGGCGGACTATCAGAACGATAGTTTTGACGATCGTGAAGCGAATTCATTGGATATTTCATTGATCGTATTCAGTTTAATGAGGAGGTAAGAGATTAATTGACCATTCGCACGATAACTCACGATTCTAAATACTTCAAGTAAGCACGTATCATCGTACGTGCCCACGTGTGTACATACGTTCGAGTTATCGACGAGTCGAAGACTTTGTTTTCTTTCCGACTAGACGAGTTATATTGAAAATAAAAAAATCTGCACTGTGCACTTCTGCGAATTGAGGGTTTCCATAAAACGTAAGGATATTAAAGTGCGAGAATCGATAATTCTATAATATTGGAGACGTATATACATATACTTAATATAAATACAAAGATGCGAGAATGTAGAACTTTCTAATATAGCGTGCGTATGTGTGTATGTATATATATATATATATATATATATATATATATATATATTTATATTCGAAGGAAAGCCGCTTCTAGAGGCACCGAACGTCGAATAATTTTATTCGAGTAATTTCGCAATTACCCAAATTTTTTTTCTTTTCAAGAGAAAAAATTGTACGAATGTAAATTTCCCGACTGAAAATATCGTTAAATTAATTAACTCGTTACGAGTCTTATAGCTAATTCTTTTCTCTGGATAGAGCTTAATGACTTTCCGTTAATTATTATTCAATTTCGTCAATACTTTTGGCGTAATATATAGATACGACAATAAAATATATTTAAATAAAATCAAGTACTGGCCATTGTACTGGCGATTATGCTGGATTGCCATTGTACGGGTACGCACGTACGTACGAGTGACAAATTTGAAATTGTATTTTCCAAAGAGATAAAGTAACCAATGACACCAGAATCAAGAACCTTTGTAAAAGGCTCGCGCCTAGCTTCGCTTGCTAGATTTAATATTTTTGTAATGACGCGTAGTCGTAGCTTGTTCGTACCAACCTATACGATATCGTCGGTACACACTATGATATAAAGTAACGATTACAAAAATTTAATTGAACATCGTTAACCGACAGTATTCAAGATTAAAGAATTAACAGTATACTATATACTTTTTGGAAAAAGAATCGCATTATTAAGATCTGCCGTCTGAAAGAGAAATGCCTCACTAACAATGATAATAATACCGAAATACAGCGCCTTTCAAAGGATTTATTTTTTTTATTTATAAAAAAAAAAACTATAAAAAAACTGGCCGCTCATGAACTGTACGAAAAAATTCTATAAAATTTTAAAAAACCGTTCGAAGTGTTCGCGTAGACTGGATTATAATATGTACGTACGAAAACAGAAGACCACGAGGATAAAGAGTATGTAGCACAAAAAAAAAGAATATAGTGAGAAAAAAGGAAAGGAGATGAACAAATATATATATACAGTCCGGCCATTTGGCGCAGAGCTGTGAGATTTTGTATGGACAGAATATGTGTACCTCCTGCGAACGCGCTAGACATGTGTTTGTCTTATCGTGTATGTAATTAAAACTCCCAATTACCTAATGAGTATCTATGCGTTTGTACCTACCTAGCGAATAATATAAATAGTACGTATTACTTGTAAAATCGCTGCGAGGGTGTTTCGTGGAACGAAAAAGTTGCGTCTTTGTATAGATATATACATATATATACTATATATATAGATAATATGTATAGAGGTTTATATAGCTCATACGCACCAGTTGCATTAGGCACTTGTCACACGATAATTCTGGAAAAATATCATTTGAGAAAACACTACAGGCTGGAATGAGAAACGTTGATTGTTAAAGAAGAGCTGGGTTCTTACGACTTTTGAATATGCTGTACATATATTGCCAGCGCAAGAGAAACGGACTTAAGAGATCATACCTGCGTAAGACAAAGACGTATATAGTCTGTTTTCGCATTTGCAGCAGACATGAGAAATGCTAAAATTCTAAGGGTTAAAACCTTTGGTAAGTGTTCCGAATATCAACGGTGTTTGGGGATGTGTGAAATTTGCTGTTTTTATGAATTCGATACTGAATATTGACTGAAAATGTCATGTGACATTTAAACAAACAAACCTTATGGCAACGCAGTGAAAATGGACTCATCCATTTGAGCTAGAAAGCCCCGTATTGTATTATGCATCCATGCTTGATAAATAGAGATACACATTCGGCAGAAAATATTTACTGAATTTCTTATATCCTACTCATATCCATAGGTAATTCATTATTCAGAAATAGCTGTACAGTAAGTAATAGCTACTATTTCTTAGTTTTTCAATAGTCGTATGTTGTTACATGCTTATGATTCATTTCAACACAGTATTGCCATCTTACCAAAATGTGCCGAACTACAGGAAGTTGTGCGATGATAACTACTAGTTTTGATCGCTCACATGGTTAATTCCCGATGATTATTAAGCATCAAGGAATCTACTCTGATCATATTTTGAAAATCAAGAAAATTCACTCACCGAGCTGAGGCACGGACATGTAGGTTTCGCAATCTACCAAGAACTGCCCGGTCTGTACGGCACCCAGGGCGACGATCCTCTTCGTAAGGAATTCAATAGTCTGCGGGCCGGTTCTGTTTTCCGTCATGGGAAACTGTTGCAGCCTGAAACATGGTGATACGGGTCACTAATGTTGCAGGATCAGTTTAAAAAACAAACTGAATGACTTCTGCTACAATTTTAAAAAGGTATAATATCTTAAAGGGGCTTCTTTTGACACGTGCCGTCTAGACGCCGTAACCTATAATTCAATAAAGTGCGCCAATCTCATACAGTACATTGTATCTTCTTGTCATTTCATTATGTATTTTAATATTGATTTATATGCCATGTATTTATGGTATAAAAAACTTACACAGTCACTCCCATTTTTAATTACGAGCACTAAACCATACGCGCTCAACTTGAAAACACTGAATGACAACTGTATACTTGTTTATACCGCAACTCGGTGAAAGCTGCTAAAATGGCGCTGGTTCTTATTTCTTCTGTTTCATAATTCACCGATAGATGGTGCGTCATCCTAATTAACGTTGATTTTGAAACATAGGTACCAAATAGACAGTTAACTGATGATTCATTTTATTTGCTCTTATCACATCGATAGATGACCCTCAGTCGAATCACGCTGTCTGTTATATCGGACAATACTATAGACTGAACATCAAGAAATTAGACTTATTGTCGCGCGACTCCGACATATCGACGCGTCATTGACTATGTTATAAAAACGAAAAATAAATTATTTTTGAAAAAATCTCTGTACGAATGACAGAACCCGCGAACTTGTGTCGAAATTATACTGGCAGTATCCTCCATTCAGATACTACCTGATAAGTGTTGTTCTTTATGATAAACTTTACAACTTGCAGTACTCATCGGCTACCAATGATTTCACCCAGGGTGAATAACCCTCTAAGGGCAGGAGTAAAGAGCAAGTTAATAAATAAAGAGAGAAATAAATCAGAAAATAAAGAAATAAGCAAGCAGAGAAGTAAGGATTAGTAGTTGAGAATTGAAGAAGTAAATATAGGAAAAAAGAAAGAAATGTATAAAACAGGATTTTTAACGAGACCAGTTAAGTGATCGGCTTGTGGAATAATGAGCGTTCTGAACTTGAGCCGCGGAATTTGTTGTGTTAAGTTACTACTGCGACACCCCTGTGGGCTCGAGTAGAATCCCTGAAGTACGTTTAGAAACCTCGCTAGAGTCGACTCTAGTATCGTTCTATCCTTTTTATAATAATAATGGTAATAAAGAGACGCAACGTGCCCGAATTACCTTGAGTAAAATTTCTGAATGCACTCTTAAGAGTATCCAGGATTCACGTTTAAATGAATATGAAGGAGTTATGTTGTTATTTACAATAAAAGTTAACTCAGTCGCACTATTTCAATATACTTGCGTGACCTCCAATTTCACATTCTACTAAATCGTTCAAATTGATTCAGAGATCTCATTTTTCCAATATCTTTGAGATCTCTGAGTACAAGATTCCAATTGTAAAGGATAGATTTAAACACGTTTAGAATTTCTAAGTCCTAACGTGCAGGGCGGAACAGCAATCACACGATGATTAAAATCCCTAGACTCATTCACATACGTTTAGTTTTCACCGTGCAGAGTTTAGACAGAGTTAACCAATCACTTATAGGAGTTGAATGGAATTGACCAATGAGGTCTCTAAACTTTGTGTAAACACTGTACGGTGGAAACTAAGACATTGGTTTTATTCTATTGCATGTGCCATCACGTCACAATAACGCTTGAAAAAAAAAACTTGTCACATATGCCATTATGAAAGACATATTTAGTGAGCACATAGCTTTTTCATGCAAATTTATACATAGTAAGGCCAGCGAGTGTATCGGGTCATCGAATATATTTAAGTTAAGCTGTCCTTATGTCAAACACGTGAGTTTTTTTTAGACTGGAATCCTTATCGTGTAATAATTTATGGGCTACTGTAAATATCTATTGAAAGTTGTTATAAAGCTGGTATTTTACAGTATGATATCCAGAGGAAGCAGAGGAGTTTGTGCTATCCTACAGGAGGTCTCGTGTGCTTTTAAAAGGAATTACGCCAAAATGGAAGTCGCTCCGTTACAAAAAGCACTTCTTCAAGAACTGTGTATTCTTGTTGACGAACAGGACAAACCAGTTGGAGAGGCTACAAAAGAATATAGCCACAGAGTTGCGCAAGATGGTAGCATACCTCTTCATAGAGCATTCAGTGTTTTCCTTTTTAACAATAATGGTGACCTACTAGTTCAGAAACGTTCTCCAACAAAAGTAAGTTAAGAAATGTATAATTCCTTTCTGCGCATCGCAATCGCTATTTATTCACTCTTCATTACAGATTACATTTCCTGAAATGTACACTAATACATGCTGCAGTCATCCTTCTGCAAAAAATCCTGGTGAAGCAGAAGAAGATAATGCTTTGGGTATTAAAAAAGCTGCACGTCGACGGCTTGCTGATGAACTGGGAATCCCTGTAAGCGAAGTTCAGCCAACAGATTTCAATTATTTAACAAGGATCCACTATTATGCTTCATCTGATGGATATTGGGGTGAACATGAAATAGATTACATTCTGTTTCTACAGAAAGATAAAGTATCTCTAGATCCTAATCCAGATGAAGTCAGTGAAATACGTTGGGTGCCAAGAGATCAAATTGAAAAATTTGTAAAAGAAATTAATGCACCCCTAACACCATGGTTCAAACTAATTTTGAATAATAAATTATTATATTGGTGGGACAACTTGAAAGATTTAGACAAATTGCAAGACCATTCAACTATTCATCGTTTTTAACTTGTATTTAGGAAATGAACGCGAATTGTGATTATATGATTAAATCAAATGTATTTTTATTTTATATTATAAATTTTGGGTTCTGGAATTATTAAATATATATATTTTCATGTATAACAAGACAACCAATTTAACTATTATTTGATTTTAATTTCAATTTTTCAATCATTCCGTCACTTTTTTTGCTTTTATTATCGTTTTACCCTTGAAGTAAAGTAACAAAGAATATTGGTCTGCATAAGTCAATACCCAAATTGATGCTACATTTATCAATTATTAAAAATAAAATTGATTTTCATTATATAGGTGGATTGATAACGCATTTAGCAGATGGGAATTAAAATATATGTAGAATGTAGAATGAGACAATGAAAAACTACATAAATATTCAAAAATTAAGTTCAACATTTCCATCCATAGATATGGTTATCATTGCTTTCAGTAACTCCTATCTTATTTTCTTATATCTTATTTTCGTTTCTTTGATAACTTCACCCTTGACGTAAAATATGTAACCAGATAGCTTTTAATAAATCACTCGTGAAAATTATATTGTATTTATTGGACAACTTTTTTTTATAGTTAGCTCGAATTATTGGGTAGGTTTTCAAGTCACTTCTTGGACTACATCATAGGGATTTTGTACGAAAAACAGTGGTAAGTCTGTAACCGGCATTTGACGTGTCCTACTGCTTGGCCAGAACGATTGTTGGTCTGCTTGATTGCTACGTGTCGAGTAAGAACGAGATTGTGCATGTATGGAGAACATCTCGTGAAAAATTACGTAAATCATTGTGTTACCGGGCGAGAGGACAAGAAACAATGATACCAAATAAAGCATCTGCTCCTTATACGAAGAAAGTTTTATTCCCGGACAAGAAACCACCGTCTAAGCAAATGAAGTCTTCGACGCTAACGAATGCCGCTGGGCTCAGCTCCCTTATTACTTTCACGATTTTACTTCTTGCTTGGATCTCAGGATTTGCTTCTCGGCTTTTCGCCGTTATCCGATTTGAGAGCATTATCCATGAGTTCGATCCTTGGTATGTGATGTTACTCCATTTTATAATTTAATTTGGAGTGTAATTCACTCTGATCGTTATCGAATTACGGTCGTTATTCTTATACAATTATAATTTATACCCCACTAAACAGTAGGATGATGATCTTGTATTTATGAAAATAATTTTCAATATTTTTCTAAATAACTTGGAACCACAGTTTTAATAAATTTGTTTTTCAATACAGGTTTAACTATCGAGCTACAGCATACATGGTCCAACATGGATTCTATAATTTTTTGAATTGGTTTGATGAGAGAGCATGGTATCCATTGGGTCGTATTGTTGGTGGAACAGTTTATCCTGGTCTCATGATAACATCAGGAACAATTCATTACATTCTTCACTCACTTAATATTCCAATACACATCAGAGACATTTGTGTATTTTTAGCTCCTATTTTTAGTGGTCTTACAGCCATTTCAACCTATTTATTAACAAAGGAGCTCTGGAGCGCAGGTGCTGGTTTATTCGCTGCTTGTTTCATTGCAATAGTTCCTGGCTATATTTCACGCTCAGTAGCTGGTAGTTATGATAATGAGGGTATTGCAATTTTCGCCCTCCAATTTACCTATTATTTGTGGGTCAAATCAGTAAAAACTGGCTCTATATTTTGGGCATCAATGACCGCATTATCCTACTTTTATATGGTCTCTGCTTGGGGTGGTTATGTTTTCATCATCAACTTGATTCCATTCCACGTATTTGCGTTGCTGGTCATGAATAGGTACAGCAATCGGCTCTTTACAAGTTACACAACATTCTACATTTTGGGGTTGTTATTGAGTATGCAAATACCATTTGTTGGTTTTCAACCAATACGAACATCTGAACACATGGCTGCTGGAGGTGTTTTCGGATTACTGATTTTTGTGGCAGCTCTCAGGTACTTAAAGGCATATATGCTATACCCTGCAGATCAGATTACTAGTTATTTGTTATCATTAATTTTTAAGATAAATATTAATAAAGATGCAGCAAAATTATTTCTGGTATCCTCAGTGTGCTATTCAAAGTTGTTAAATAAAATTCATTTGCTCTCTAATCTTCTGACTTCAGTCTTAATTTTTTTATTCTATAAATTTGTTTTTTCTTATGAATGTATTCAAGATATCTTAGCAATTTTTAAAGAATTTTATCTAACATATTCTTATATTTTCAGGTATCTCAGAACAGTACTTACGAAATCAGAAATGAAGTACTTCGGCGGCGTGGTCGCCGTAACTGCAGCAATTCTCTTGCTAATTTTAATTGCGTTGACGTACACCGGAGTTGTCGCTCCTTGGAGCGGACGTTTCTATTCACTGTGGGATACCGGATATGCGAAAATTCACATTCCCATTATTGCCTCGGTGTCCGAACATCAACCTACCACATGGTTTAGTTTTTTCTTTGATCTACAAATACTGGTAACCACATTCCCTGTTGGATTATGGTATTGCATCAAACATATCAACGACGAGCGCGTTTTTGGTGAATATTCATGACACAATGCATTGTATGATCTTACTCTATTTAATATGTTCAAGACAATATCTAATTGCTTTTTAGTTATTCTATACGCTATAAGTGCGGTATACTTTGCTGGAGTGATGGTACGTCTCATGTTGACCCTTACCCCTGTCGTATGTATGTTGGCCGGAGTTGCCTTCAGTGGACTCTTGGAATTGTACCTGAAAGAAGAAGATAGAGAAAATGGTGATCGCGAGGGCGATGGTAGCGAGGAGGAAAGTGAGGAAGAACGCGAAAGAAGTCCCGGAAGGGCATTGTACGATAAAGCTGGAAAATTAAGGCGCATGAAGCACGAAAGACCTAAGGGCAGTGGAGATGGATTGGGCGCTAATTTACGGAATGGTGTTGTTATTGGTATACTTATGCTGCTGATGATGTTCACGGTTCATTGTACTTGGGTCACGAGCAACGCATATTCTAGTCCTTCTATCGTTCTCGCATCCTATAGCAATGATGGTGGTAAATCCATTCTGGATGATTTTCGGGAAGCTTATTACTGGCTTGCTCAAAATACGCCTAATGATGCCCGAGTCATGAGTTGGTGGGATTATGGGTACCAGATTGCAGGCATGGCCAATAGGTAAGAGAAATACTTCGATAACTACGTCAAAAACTACGTAAGCAATGTTGAAATATATTTACTATTTAAACAGAACAACCCTGGTGGATAATAATACATGGAACAATTCGCATATTGCATTAGTCGGTAAAGCAATGAGCTCGAATGAAAGTGCTGCATATGAGATCATGACCTCTTTGGATGTAGACTACGTTCTAGTGATATTTGGAGGAATGATCGGCTATTCCGGTGATGATGTTAATAAGTTCTTGTGGATGGTGAGAATTGCAGAAGGCGAACATCCCCATGATATTCGTGAAAGCGATTACTTCACAGAAAGGGGAGAATTCCGTGTCGATTCTGAAGGTTCGCCAACTCTTCTTAACTCTCTAATGTACAAGTTGAGTTACTATCGTTTTGGAGAGGTGAAAATAGATTATCGATCACCATCTGGTTACGATCGTACTCGCAATGCCGAAATTGGAAACAAGAATTTCCAGTTAACATACTTGGAGGAGGCTTACACTACTGAGCATTGGCTCGTTAGGATTTACAGGTGATTCTTATTTTCCTTCAATCGTCATAAGCTTTTCAACGGTACTATTATCTTGTTTCACAAGAGATTACAGAGAGTATTTCTATTTTTATGTAGGGTTAAAAAACCAGACGAATTTAACCGCCCGAGGATCCCAATCTCCGAGCGTACTATCACTCGCCGTACAAACTCATACATTAGTAAAAAGGTGAGAGTTTTGTTATAAGAGTTTGAATGAAGAGACATATTATAAAATGTCTCTCGTATCGTTTGCCCTTTCTCGAAAGAGTGCAATAATAGATCTGGAAACGTAGTTGAAGTTATGGGGGGTGGGACATTGATGTTTCAGACGGCGAGACGCAAGAAAGGTTTCATTAAAGGTCGACCGACTGTTGTAAAGGGACAAAAGCCTCAGCGGAGAACAAGTGCGTAACGTAAATATTTACGATCAAATTCTCATACAACATTCAATCATGACGTTTTTAATAAAAAAGAAAATTGAGAAATCACCGTCCTTCGGGTCTACCATACATTACAAATCAGGATAAGATATAATACCATTGAACACATTGACTTGATTCGAAGAGTGGAGTAGAAGGAATAGCATTGAAAATTGAATGATGTTTTTCGAAGACTGTATCATCGGGACTACTTTCACTACTTACTACAGAACATGATTTGCATTTGTAAGGTATTGTAACATACATCATGTAATTGTGTCATACGTATATATATCGAAGATTTATATGTTATTTCCAAATAGTGTAGTATCGTGCCCGTAAGTACCACAGAGGCAATATCTATTTTCGATACAAGGGTAATGTATGACTACTGGCCTGTTGATTTATCAGAAATGTCATACAGTAAAATCATATAACACATTATTCTGTTTCCTTCGTCTTTGTAAAGCACTCTAGGGCCGAGTCAGTGTGTCTTACAGCAAGCTTTAAAGCTTTAACAAAATTTGTTTGCTATTAATAAAAATTTAAACCACTAAAGCTCTAAACTATGATTAATGACTATTACAATATTTGGATAGTATAGTGTTTTTCCATCATTTATTTTCAAATTCTTAAACAAGAGAAGCAAGATGCTAAAATCATTTTTGCATCTTCTGTTAGTCATTTTCTTACTAGTAAAAAAAAATGTTTTCATAATAAACTCATTAAATATTGTGTCACAATTGTGAAGGAAAACAAATGTCAAACAATGTAAAACAGTAAAAATGGTCCAACACTTACCAATGTTTGATCATTGAACTGAAAGGGCTTGTATGTGTGTCCTGTGTACACAATTTGTTGTATAGCGTCTTGTTAAAAGATAAATATTTGCAATAACATACCTTTGTTGTTAAAAAATTTCGTATTCAATTTGTCTGTTTCGATATGTGGTGTCTATGAGTAGAAGTTTTGATAATGATTTCATACTATTGACCACTATGATATATGTGTATACATATAATCATGAGTATATTGAGTTAGTATTAAATGATTAAATAGAAGACAAGTATCATGTCAAAATTAATTACTTCTAGTGCACCATTCCTTGAACAAAAGTACACCATGTATCCTCCTTCAAATAATTAATATACACCTATGTGTTAATGTTTCTGTTTGTAATGAGGAAAAAGAACGTACGAACAAATTATGAAAAATAATGCGACGGACTGGTAAATTGAATACAGAATAATCTGCCGCTTCGACAACGAATACTATTTCGTAATATGGTTTATTTTTAATACGAGGAAACCAAAATATCTCAGGATATCTTGTGCAAAGATGCGTTTATGAGTAAAGGTTTATTTTTTGTTCAGATTATTACTTCAATTTCTGTTTCGTATGCTCCTGTGATTTTCAAAAGTATAATTATATTTTTATTGCTTGGTGAGACCATTTCAATAAAAATGTTTTATAGAATTCAATAAAATATTAAGGAAAAATATCTTTTGTGATGACCATTTCGTTCTTATTATCAATTTACCACACTTCCTGATACAAAGAGAGATGACTGTAATTATAAAGGGTGAGTATGTCTGCCTAATGGCTATTTAAAAAATATACGACAAAAGTATGATGTATAACACATTAACTGTAAGTAATGCAAGAATAACTTTTTTTTTATTATATACATTGTTGATCTCAGGTACTTATTACAACACCTGTCATCTGACTTATCAGAATCAGGTGGTCACTGTAATTAGTGGAGTGGGATTTTTACAAACATTAAAAAACCGTAATAACTTCTTCTATTCCGTTTAAACAATATCATAAATTCACAAAATATTAATATTAAAAATGGTATACATGACTACTAGGCTGACCATTCATTAACATCAATTGAAGAATCTAGTATTTTCGTACTGTAGTACTTATCTGAAAATTAATAATCTCATTTTGGTAATATGAAAATCCTCAAATTTATAAGTATCGCTATGCTAATGCATTCAATGAATTATTCAATTTTGAACTTTTTCCTAACTTCAAACTTCATCATAATCTTAGTATAACTACTATAATGTTTTAATTAACGAGAATGATTAGAAGATTAACAAACATTGCGTAAAAACTACTTCTGAACATCAATTATAAAAGAATGGAAAAATATTTAAAGAGTATATTGGTAATGTAAATATTAAGATGTTATAAAAAGTTCGTAATAATCAAGTGGAATAAGTGCTCCGCCGAAGTGCGCGGATAAGTCGAGTACGTCGTTTTCGAAAAAATTACTCTATAAAAGCTCTCCAAAGTTTTATTGGAGTATTTGAAAGCCTTCTAGGGACATATGCAATTTTTTTGAAGATCTTTGTGTTCCGAAAGTGATAATGTATAAAAAGGATTGTTACAATTACGGAATAAAAGCGCCTTCGTAAATAAATTAGGTTAGGTTAAACATTGTGACGCTGGAAATTCCCATTCGTATTTGTACGCGAACGGACACCTAAAGTGAAATTTATTTTCCAGTGTAATGCTGCGAATACGAAGCCCAATGAGATATATGTGAAAAGAGCTTTTATGCGGATTCTGCCGCAACATCATTGCGAATTCAGGGATTTTTCGCGTCTCGGACGGTTCGTCTGGTCAGCAGCCGCCATTTTGCTGCCTTCACAACTGACATGTCTTTCTAATGTTATTATCGATGAGTGCTGAAGTTTGTGCGTGGCTTTACAATTGCTTTGGGGAATATTTTCTTAGTGGAGGTCAGGTGTGTTTGTGAAACAGCCAATTTTTATAAACTTGGCAGGATCATCTTCGATCAATTCCAACCTCGGCCGGATGTTGAGCTGATAAATGCAGCTCTGTGAGTCTTCTTGTTATACTGAATCCACCCTTGTTATGGGGTTGAAATTTGATCAACAATTAGCGTGACAAGCGTTTCGTCTATTGTGGATTTAAGCTCAATCAACGCACAGCTACGCTACTCGGTGTTATATTGTCAATAAGCGGAGTGAACATAACCAAACAGCGTGACCTGCCCCAATATAAAGTGTTGTAGTCAAAGTTTAGGAGCTAGGGCTTTGCTGACGATGGCCTTGCCCTATCACAGATTCGCAGAGCTCTCTCAAGATCATTTACAACTGTGGTACTCAATGCACGGAAGTAGTGCTGTCAAAGATGTATAGGACATGTTTGGTGTGAACAGCGATGCTAGGCAAGGATTATTTTTACCCTACTCTAGTCATGCACTAAGTTTACGCCTGTTGCTCTGACCAGTTTTAATATTTTGCATTTTTCATAATTTGATATATTACGATGCTTTGGAACTTCACTTTTCATATAAAAAGTAGTATAACTTGTTGCATTGTTTGTGTCGAGATGAACACATTGTTATGGAACAATGGCACTTATAATATAAAATATAGAAGTAATTAATTACTTAACTAATTACTGCATAATTTTAAAAAAGGTGAATTAAACGTTTATGTTAATAATTTTTACATAAAGTAAAGAGAGATTAATTTAACGTCTTTCACTTGTGATTATATCTCTTTCAAATAAGCTCTGTGCGTAACTTTTAAAATATAACTCTATATGATAAATGCGCTTTCTTTTGGTATTGCTATAAATATTAAAAATATTTTATTGCTCTTCTGTTAAAGATTCATCCTCTTGAGTGAATCGTGTTGATGGACAACCTTTTTTTACATACCATACGTGTTTCCAATGGAACTGCATAATATGCAACAGTAACTACTTTCTAAATAGGTATTTTTTTTTACTTTGAAAACGAAATTGAATTTAGTTCCGCTTAAATTGTTATCCTAATTTTCATTTTGTATGTGAAGATGAAATACTTTGAAAAGTAGCTCATGAATCTTATACTATGAAAAATCTTTACATCCTTTCTCCAGTATTATTTTTGTAATTTGAATGTATAAACGGGCCTCGGCATATGGCGTGAACTAAGTCTTATCTAGATAGGAGGAAGGTTGATTTGGAGAGTTTGAGAATGCAGGTGGAACGGGAAAGGACAGAGGCAGCAATCGGTGAAGGTCCCTGTTCGCGAGAACTCAAACATGGACAATAAATTGAAATTTTCGGACCGGCTGAAGGCTCTGCTGAAAACTGAGGCTCGACAAGACGTCGATCCGTACATTTTCAGCGAACCGGAACCATTTGCTGCGGCTACTGGAAGAAACACGAAGTTGACGCCTTCGAAAAATCGTAGGGTGATCCTGAATAGTAAGAACAACAAAGTAAAAGGAAAATGTATAAAGCAAAGCATAAAAATGGAATCCGTTGGGGATACGGGTTTCGGAGGAGCGTCGGACAGAAACTCGGAATTGGATGAGGAAGGCAGTAGCGCAAGAAGTGTGGAACTCCGGTACCCTAATACCGTTCGTCGAAAACATCGTCATCTGGAGAATCTGCAAAGATTAAAATCACGGCGACAGAGTCGAGATCACACCCTATTATACTACCCTCGAGCGGGCGATGAGATTTCGGACAGCGATTCGAGTGGTGACGAGATGACCGTATATCAGCGTCACTGGTTCTCCGGCGAAACGCCAATGGCTCTAAATCGCTCAGCACGACTTTCGCAATTGCGTTCCCAGCTGCGTCGACGATTGATCCAGTTGCACAAGAGCGGACCAGAGTCTGAAGCCCTACTGCGCGAGAGGACACGTTGTTTATTAGAAGCTGCTTGCCGAGATCCCGAGTCCACAGCTAAAGCCCTGCACGATTTGCCAGGAACAAGTAAAATTATAGATGGACCTTTACTAGTAGGAGGACCGTGCGGAGCGGATGGCTGTCGTCAGACGTCCTTACCTTGCACGCGCCATTGTTCCCGGCACATAATGCTGAATGGGGATCAGCTTTTGTTCGAACATTGCACTGCCAAGTTTAGTGACAACACTCAGTGTTGTGTTCCCGTATTCGATGTTGCGCATGAACTACCTCTATGCCCAGAACATGCTAGGAAAAGAGATAATTATCATCGCAAGGCCCAAGAATCGAAACCAAAGAAAGCTCGTAAGAAGCCGGCATCTCCTACGATCCCGAGGCCTAAGCCTAAGTCCAGACCCAAAAAGCGGAAGCGACCACCTTCTACTAAGCTGGAGTCGAAGAGTTTAACAATACCTAACGAAGAGAATCGTTATGTAAACCAGATCACCACGGGCGAAAATCATACCAAGACATTGAATAATTTGAATGTACCACAAGGAAGCTCAAATTCGTCGAATTTGAATCTTGGATTAGGATTGGGCTCTCTCGGCCTTGGCACAGGACTCAAGGTTGAACTGGGAGACCATGAGGTGTTCGCATCCCTAGATCCAGCGGAGCACGACTTTGGCAATGTGCTCAACAACTTACCTGCTGATGCTTTTAACGATTTATTCATTGGTAATTATCTTATAATATTTTATGACAATAAGGACTCTATCGAATGTATTTATACATCAAATGAATATACTATATGAGACAATGTGTCTTGTTGCATATTATAGAAAGCAGGAATGGAGAATATGAACCATCGAGAGAGGAAGAAGAGGAGCTGGAACGGGCGCTAGAGGCAGTTGACAAAGATGTTCGTAATCTGGAGCGAATGGGCCAGTCACACGGGCTCCTGGAGCCGGCTTTGCTTGCTCAGCTCATGTCGGATATCGCTTCGTAGCCCCCTCCGCCCTGATAATCCAGTCTCGAAATGATTCGGTTCGCGCGTGTTCCTTATGACGTAGAGAAAAAATATACTGTTCGTGTCTGTGCTGGTAAACGTAACATTGTATTACTAACTGTCGTATAGTTAACGCGAATTTGAAGTAATGCCAGGGATGGGTGCATGGATTGTATGGGATGGCATGTAGCGTCCTTGTCGATATAGTACAGATAATGCTAAACAAATGGTCATGTTTTTGATCAAGTATGTGTTGGGGAAATTGACTCGCTTGTAAGTGCTGCATTTGATCCTCTCGTATTTCTGGATAGATGCATCGATTACAAGACGTCGCCTACGTAGGACTAGTTGTATCGAACCCATCCAGGAATGGCAGGAATTTAAAAAACCTGTGGTTTTAGCTGTAGGAATATACATGATCATGTTTACTGTTCATCGGTAAATGACAATGCAGTGAAACACCAGTTATTGGCACAATGTTCAGCACATACAGACACTCCGTGATGTAAGCATCTATTGACACACGTAACATTTATTCTCTATGTGTATCAAGACTTTGGATTATTTTAACCGATCGATGAACGCAACCAGGTCCGTCATTTTGGTTGAATTTCCATAGCCAGAAATTAGAACTCCAGGGGCTGAAAAGATCCAAGAGCTTCGATTGTCATCGTGAAAAAACCAAGGGTTTCGCGCAGTATGGATTTTCATTTGAATTCTGACTTTACGAATGTGCTTTGTACATAATTTGCTACCATAGTTAATATTTGTAAATTACAACGGTTCAATATAGCGGATAATGATTATTTGCAAAATATTGTCGGCGCCCAGTGTCACGTAAACCGTTTATGAAGGATCCAAAATTCCTTCCTGATACTCGTGAATGCTGCAATATTTTTCCACGTGCAAGTGTATATGCCTTTATGCACAAGACGGCATGTTTTTAACAATGGCGCTTAGACCTTCTCTTTTTATATAGGTTTCAAACGCGAAATACATTAATACTTTTCAAAGTAAAACAATTGTAGGGAAGGTCCAGTACGAAGGTCACACTATATCCAATAGTTGCTCCAAAAAGAATGTCTTTTTGGTTTATGTTCTAATAAAAAATAAGGATTTTTTACAGTTTTGTCCTCATTGAGATACCTGATTGAGTGGAGCACCGTTGCACAGGCACACGACTGAATTTATAAAGAAAAATGCATACCTCATATGTCCATACATGCTCACGCATCCCTTCTATTGTCTTATCGATCGAATGCATCAAATACGATTGATATTTGCAGTTAATGCAGAATGATCGATAATTTCACCCAATCCATACTGTATTATATTCATCTAGACAATTATTAATTAATGATTAGTTACAATGGAACAATAGAGTAACGATGAGAAGCGCCAAAGGAGTATCTTTTAGATATTCTTCTGTATCATTTGTAAACAGCCATGCGGAGCTCTCCGCAGTAATTTTTTTTTTTTATAAAATGGCGAGTCTGTCGCTGTGACATGGTTTCAGCCGAGAAGCTGCATCTCAGAGTATCCGCTACTATTTATTTATTTAAATACTCCATATAGGAATCTTTGTAATATCAAAAGCAACGATCGGCCATAGATTCTGGGACTTTAGAATTTACTTGTCAATATTATATGATTTGCTGTGCCACTCGTTGAACAAAGATTGTTATTACGTATTCTTATGTATTTGGTTACTATGAATGCGGTGGATCTCGGAATTTCGCACTTGAATCTTGGAATCATGTAAGTGAGCGCTAAAGTATGACAATTTATAATGATTTAGCTGAATAAAATGTAACTCGGAATCTCGGTGACGAGATGAACTTGATATTAAGAGTTTCCTATTCCGTTCGAAGTATGCATGCCGCTCATAAATGTTAAATCAAAGATGGATGCACCTCGAACAACGATTTTGTTAGCCAAGCATCGACTGACTGGTATAAGTAGCAAATTGTCACGCGAATCAAAGAATAATATGAGTTACGTCAAGCCCCATATTGGGGAGCGAAAATCTTCTGTCTTAGGATCTGCGCTATCCTCATCTTTACATTGTTATTACTATATTTAATGGTAGTTAGCAGTTACAATTATTAGTTATATGCGGCGGAAGCAGCGATGTCGAATCTGAACGTGAAAGCATTATTCGCTGCTCCTAATGTACCTATATGTGTATGTCCTTGTAACATATTATCATTACTATTCTGATTAGGCAGTACCAATTACAATAAGCATATTTTTTACATTGCCTTGTAGCGCTCAGTTGTGTCTGTCCCTATCTTACACGTCCTTGTATATTCTTCTCTTTCTCTCTCTCTCTCTCTTTGTTTTTTTTTAAATCATAGTGTATCTCAATGCTTCTGCAATTCCAATGAACGGTTTATACGATAAAAAGAAGTAACACACTTCTTACAATTTATGTCTGCAAACTCTTGTTCAATTATTTCTTTATACTTATTCCCAGGAAACGCAATTCATTACTTTTGTTCAATTTATGCAGCGCTTATAAATTTTCTTGGTAATTACTGAGTTTTTGTCTATTTAGCCGTAACGATTTGTACGTTTGTTTGACTAATTATTGCAAATTACATTCAGAGCGAGAATGAATTTTCTATGGTAAATCTTTTCGCTTGGTCACTAAATGTTATTTTGGATATATATCAAAACGCCTACGTTAATAGTTATTCGATAAAACGGGTCATTATCACTTACGAATACTGCCTAAAAGCATTCGTGTAGATAAAACTTCAAAATATACGTAGTGACATGCGCTAGGCAAAATTACTTAGGGAATTTAATCAGACGATTATAGAAACACACAGTGAGCGGATATCAATGAGAATGGAATTTTGTATCCACTTAATTTTTCCATGATTTATCCGTAAATATTAAATATTATTTTGTTGGACTGATAGTAATCTAATCTATTGCATAAATAAAGTGCAACCATAGGTTGTGTCACCCGCACGCCTATGAAATGGATTAGATAATAATTGTATGTAAATAGATAATATTATATGTTTAAAAGTATGAGGCATAAGCTTTTTCCTTTTTTTTTTTTAATTAGTGTTCTAAATTTGAGGCATCTTCAGTATTGATTGGGGTTAGATTGTGAAAGCTTTTCTTTTGAATATTCATTCCGGGAGAGTAGCAATGGAGGATGTTTCCACGTATTTATTATTGATGCGTCTTAATTCTCTAGAAACCCATTTCTTTCGAGCATCCTCGCGTTCCTTTTGATGTTCACCGCATACTTTCGTATCCACTTCCATTGGGAAAATATCCGTAAATTCAGGATATAACAGATACTGCGGCATCCTGACGGTTTCGCGGTCTTGATGCTTTTTATAAAATGGCAAAAAAATTGTAATTAGATAATATACAAATTTATGTGGTGCAACAGGGCTTCATAGGATACATTCTAAATCCTCGAAATATGAAAGGCTTTAAAAGACCCACCAGAATTTTTTGACGCTTTTCTGCCAGAGAACATCTCCTTTTTTCCCATTTATCTTTCTCAGCATTTCCAGCTGTAATTGGTTGTTCTTCTTCGAGTGGAGTTAACATTATATCGTAATCGGAGCGCGGATGTCCCAAAATGCCAACTTTTATGCCTAATTCGGTCAACGATTCTTCTTTAGCAAGGAGTGCATTATGCAGATAAATAACACGTGGATCTTGTGTATTCAATTTGACTGTACCTACAATATGAATTCGCCATTAATAATTGTTATTACAAGGTACGCTAATGACTCTCACCTAAACCCATAATACGATAGTCGCAGTACGTATTTATCAGTTGATATGCCAATGGAGAATTTTTTAATAATTTCCGTTTTTCTGGCATCCTTGGACCATGTAATATGATATATTCATCTTCCAGCATAATTTTGTTGAATATTCCTTCAGTTCTCCTATCAGCGGAATTATATGCATCTGTTCTGAACAGCCTATGAATTTCTATTTCTGAGAAGAAAGGCGTTGCATTTATTAATATAATCGGAATTACGTGAAAGAGATGGTTGTATCTACTTGAGACGAACCGATTAAACTGTAATGTTTGCGCTGAAGGGTTATCCATACCACTCTGTGTGCCACTCTTATCAATACTTCAAAAATTCTCAGATCTTTTTCTCCTTGCGACTGAGAGCTTGCAGTAGATGCTGATTTTTTATTAGTTACCATATGGTGATACGGCGCACATTCGCCGCAGCCAACCACCAAATGTGCATATTCTCTTCCTAATACACACCTAAGTGTGTCCATTTCATTCGCATATTTAGCTCTACTGCCCCTTGCCAAAGGATTCGGAGCCTTTTTAACTGTAGCTTCACGCTTGCGGGCCAAATCTTCCCATATTTCTATGTAATATTGAAAATATAAGATGAGGGCTCTCAGGAAACGATCTACTACTGGCAGATGAAAGAAATTGATAAACTGTATCGTGATTGGAGTTGAGATGAGGTATATTACAAGGTCTTTCACATCCTGCAGAATAATGATATTATGTTCTGTTGGTGACACCTTTCTCAGATAAAGCCTTCGAAATCTGATCTGTAAATGTGCAATAATATGGAACATTTATTTATGGACATTTCGATGATTCTCGTATATAATTAGTTAACATACCTTTTCACTTGGATTCAAAGTTTCGTGAAAGTTTAACATTAAGTAAGTGTGAGGACAGTAAACATTTGTCTTGTGCAAGATTTGAGCCTGCTTTTTACGACTTTTTGTTTGCTCGTCCTCTGCTTTTGGAACTCTGACGAGAAAAAAAATGATTTTAAGTAAGCAATGACACGTGTAATGTGTAATAGCTTGAGGAATCCAATTTTTTACCCCAATAACACGAGACCTTCGGCGTCATCCCAAATGAAACGCTTCTCTCCTGTGGTAGGAGTCGCAGGCATTTCACCATTTTATATCATATTTGAACATATATATTTTAAAAAGTGTTTAAACGGGTTACAAATTCAACATGAAAAAACAGTTCACTGAAGGAAGTTTGAGGTACCTGAAGTTGTAGTTTATTCCAATTATTGATTGTACCATGGTGTATCACCTGTGTTACAGGTACATACAGACTTGTGTGTATACATATGTTGAAATTCAATGGATATATTTATTTTGTAGCTGTAAAAAATCATTCTGTATGTGTAATATAATGACAAGTATATCAAGAAATTATAAATTGTTCGAAGTATAGTTACAAGAATTAATAATGCAGCAGAAATACTTTGTTTCTTGGTATCCTTTTTTGTAATTCAGTTTGAAACATTGAAAAAACTGGATTTCGATTTTATAGGAACTTAAACTGGTTTTATAATAAAAAAGCATTAAACCTTCTAATCTTCATAATTTATTTATAAACGTGCTAAGGCATACAATTATATTTTAAATACTTGGGCTTTCAACAAGACGATGTTTTGGGAGAGTATCCAGTACAGCCTGATCTTCTGGGAATATTGCCTCATCATGAAACTTAAAGAATTCACAGTGTGGAAGTCTCTTAGCAGGATCTGCAGACCAGTGATGGATTGCACATCTGACTTTAACTTGTTCCTTATTATTTATAGTGACTGTTACATAGAACTCTTTATTTTCTATTGATAAGTCTGGACCACAAATTTTCTTCTGTGGCATGGTTATACATTCATCTGGTACATGAAAATTAGCTTTGCGGAAGCTGCTTCTTATGTGAAACTTCTCTATTGTCCATGGATTATCCAATGTCATCAACACTGATAACTTTAAGGTGGACAGTAGGTTTATTGTCCGTTCAACATATTTAGAACTATATTGTTTGGTGTCATCTTCAAAACTTTCATACTTTTTAATATTTTCAGGTGAGGCATATACAGCCAATCCAGGTAGAAGATAATTATAATATGCACAATTAGATGGCATATTTATTCTCTGGCCCTTATTACCGATTCCAGATACATATGACGTTAGGATAATCTCTATTTTTCTCTGTTTCTGTGTTTCTGTATCAGCCACAACATCGTATATGAATTGTTTGTGCTTAAGTGGTGCAGGACGTTGCCCTTTTTTATGAAGTGGCATAGGATATTTTCGCTTTAATATAATGGTATTCTATAAATGAATAAAATGAATATACAGAACCGCAAACCTCCATATTAAAAGACAGTAAAAGTTGGTAAAAATGGATCAAGGTAAGAACTTACACGCGTTTGTTGAGCTAAAGGTCCGGATATTAAGGTCAGCAAAGGACTAGCTAGTGCCCGCAAAGGAGTCACACATATCTTCGAATTATTCAGCATTCTTATTTTTTGATTAATTCATGTGAATATGCTTTTTAAGTCCTATAATTCTTCTTTATATACTGGAATTGTACTACAGGTTATGAACGGGAGGTTGAATACACTTATTGAAATATTATTTTAGTACGACAACCTCCCGGTAGAAAGCGGTGTTTCTACTATCTATGAACTTCTTTATTAGCAGATGATGTTCCTAAGACACCAAATCCTACTTTGAAACTTCAATTTTAATAATTTGTGTAATAATTTATGCATTGTTGATGAATTGATAATTGCTATCCTTTTCTTATACAAATATAACATGGACTGTATTATTTCATATAATTTAACTCAATATTTATTCATCCAAAACAGCAATGGCAAATATCTTGGCCCCATCCAATGGAATATTGAAGCAGGCAATAATGGATCTGAAGGAGCCTGTAATTTTTCGTGGTATTCTCAAAGATGAAGAAGGATGCAACATTTGGAAATTTTTGGATTGGAACTTGACAGAACTTGCAGAGAAGTTAGGTGATATGCGGTTACCTTTTAGAACTGGATTTAATGGAAGGTCAAAGGTAATAAAATATTACATGAACTTAATAATATTAATGGCAATAATAGATAATTATACATATATTTATACCATTGAAAACTTCATTTTTTTAATAGGAGCCACAATGGGATATTAAATGTCCAACTCAAACTATGACCATGCAGAGATTTCTTGAAGAATCATACTCCTGTGACAGACCAGAGAAGTGGTATTATTTTGATTACAAGTATATGCATGAGTGGTTAAAAGATCAACCTGAAATATTGGCTTCGGTGGATTGGCGTCGATTTGGATTTGATGCATGGGGTGAAGATTCTACACTCTGGATTGGAAATAAAGGAGCCCATACTAATTGCCATCAAGATTCCTATGGTTGTAATTTAGTTGCTCAAATGCATGGAAGGTGATGAACTTGCTGTCTATTAATTGTATCCATAATTTTACATTGTTATGATATTTGTTCATTTTTGCAGAAAGCAATGGTTTTTATTTCCACCCAGTTGTACCAATGCATTACAGCCTACAAGAATTCCATATGAGGAGTCAACAGTATATAGTAAATTTAATTTCTTTTGTCCAACACAAAAGGATGAAGAAGCTATTGTAAATGTCCCAGAGAGGCCTAAATGTATTACGCTTGAACCAGGTCAGGTATTATTTGTTCCTGGTGGTTGGTGGCATTATGTAGAATCACTAGACTTAAGTGTCAGTGTAAACGTATGGCTTCCGTTGCCAACGGATTGTGAAGCAAGGCTGAGAGAGGCATTGGTTAAATTGATTGCGACGAGATTAGGAAAAGGATGTTTAAATTCTGCAGAAGAACCGCATAGTACGCTTCATCGTTCTATGAAATTGGTACGAATATGGATACTAACTATAATTAGTCATATAACGTTAAAATATTTAAAAAAATGAATATTGCTAGGTGGAAGCATGCCTTCATGAAGTTAAAGCGAATGAGGAGCCTGTAGAATCGCCAAGCAAAAAAAAAGCAAAGGCAGTAACATGGACAGCAGCAGCATTATCCAAGGAATATCCTAAACACGTGTCGCTTTTATCGGAATTGAATACAAAGGAATTAAGAAAATTACTAATAGAAAAAAGAGAACGGTTTTCAGTCAGTAATGAAGCCGCGTCTGACGAAAAATGTGCGCAAGTGACTGAAGATTCTAATCTTTCAGAATCCTCATTGGATCAAATATCAAAAGCAGTTATTAACTCTTTTTGTCATCCTGATATTATTAGCAGGGTGGCTCAATTGGTCATTGATTCAAATGTTACAGCATAACATGTTCTCATACCTAGGACATGTGACATATGTTTAAGTGTTTTAAAGAATCCGATATTGCGCAGTTGCTTATTCGGATGTGTGCTTTGTATGAAGGCTGAAGTACCCACAGAACAAATGTAGGCTGGGCCATGTTAGGTTGGATTGCTTTTCTGTCAAACGTCTAACCTCTCAACATTCTTGATACGGCTTTGTAAATAAATTTCGTAAATATATATGGTTATTGTTGCACTGAATTAACAAGAGATGGGTCTGTTAACTGTTTTAAAAAAGTTAAAGCAAAAGGAAAAAGAAATGCGGATTCTTATGCTGTAAGTATTCATAAAATTTTTTATAATTTCAATCTGTTTTATCCAATCTTGGTATCTAGGTTAGAAATTGTATAAATTGTACTGTTTCAAATTTGTTTTGAAGTTTATGATTGTGTGGGCAATTATTTTAATGATATTTCAGTGGCTTGGACAATGCAGGGAAAACTACTGTTTTGAAAAGAATCAATGGAGAGCCAATTGACACCATTTCGCCTACACTTGGTTTTAACATCAAGACATTGGAACATAGAGGATACAAGTTAAATATTTGGGATGTAGGTGGTCAGAAATCTCTGCGTTCCTACTGGAGAAATTATTTTGAGTGTACAGATGGCTTGATTTGGGTAGTGGATAGTGCAGATAGGAGACGGCTTGAAGATTGCAAAGCAGAATTGCACAAGCTTTTACAAGAAGAAAGATTAGAAGGTGCTAGCCTTCTTGTACTTGCTAATAAGCAAGACCTACCTGGTGCCCTTTCAGCTCCTGATATTGCTGAAGTTTTAGAGTTACCAAACATCAAAACTCATCATTGGCAAATTTATAAATGTTCTGCGGTGACAGCAGAAAATTTGGTGGAGGGTATAAATTGGATAGTTGACGATATTGCAGCTAGAATTTTCTATGTAGATTAAGACTTAAAAGTGATAATCGTATGACCTCTTCTTTCATTAATACTCTTTCTTTTATTATCCTAATACATAGGATAGGAGTTTTATACAAAATTTATCAAAACATTATTAATCCTTGATTAATTTATGCTTGACACCATTTATTTTCTCCAGAGATAATAAAACCAAATTATAACTTACAAGACTGCTTATTCATTTTCTATTAAATATGTAAATTAACAGTTATATTATAATTTATAAAATTATCGTAATTGTTAAAAATAAATAAATCTAATGTTAAACTAATTAAATATGTTTTCAATAAACTTATAATTTATGCTTTTGGAGTTGATAAAATAAATACAATTGATGTTGAGGGCTAAAAGGAGCTATTTCCGAGCTCTATACCATGAAGAATGACAGTCGAAAACGAATAAATGAGGGTTGCTCGCGAGGGCTCGTGGCCCCGGCAACCGAAAACGAGTTTTCCACGGTCCATAAAATTTCCTAGTGCCCTGTCAAATCGCAAACTTGCTTCTTTTCCTTCGTCCTATCAAAATTTTCTTTAAACACGAAACGTATCCCAAGTTCCGGAGTGGGACCTCCCTGGTAATACGATAACTCCTAGTGAATATCTAGATGTTTTATAAAAGTGTCCGAACATGGTGCGTTAGGTAGGTGCGTCTTGTGTACTCGGTTTTCAAAAGAGGTGAACAAAGAATATATTTGTAACGAACGCTGGTCAATTGTTCGTTGTTTTATATAATGGCTGCGATTTAATGAAACACAGATCTTCTCCCGTATCTATTAATCTTAGGTACGAGCTGGACTCAAGGCCCAAAATTTTAGTGTTGCAACAACTCCAATGACAGAGCGGGTCGACCTATTTTTCCCGGTTAAAACTGATGTCAATTTTTGACTTTATCAAAGCACTGACAGTGACTGGTATTTGATGCTTGAAAAAGAGTGACAAATCATTCTCCGAATAAGAAGTGTGCCTGTAATAGAGTCCAACCGGTACTGGTGAAGACAGGTAGAAAGAAAGACAGGATTACATACGACAGGAGTCAGGGAATCCTCCAATGAAGAGCCACTGGCATGGCCACGCGACTCAGCCCCCGAAACTCGGAGGTGAACGCTCTTGAGCAGCGGGGCTATCTGATTGGCAAAAAAATTGGACAGGTTATACCTCATCCTAATCCATTTCCATGCATTAACCTTTTCCGTCTGTCATAGCTTCCTTTTATTTCATTACCTTAAGAACTTGTCTCATCCCTTGAAGGCTGTCTTATCTTCGGGTTCTATCATTTAGTCTCGTTTTCTTCACATTTAAAAGTATCCTATGTTTCCTTCATTAAGTGTAAATGCAAAGATATTTTAATATCTTGAAGTGTTCACTGGCAGGGTTCTTACGCGACTGTCCATCTTGCTGAATATGTGGATGGACCTAGTACGAAAAAAATGCGATTGGCTTGTAAGATCTTTGACAAGGAAAAAGCACCACGTGACTTCCTGGATAAGTTTTTCCCAAGAGAATTAGAGATACTGACAAAGATTGAGAATCCTCATATTATACAAGTACATAGTATCCTTCAGCGCGGTCCACGAGTTTTTATATTTATGCGTTATGCCGACAATGGCGACCTCCTCGATTTTGTCAAGAGGAACGGTGTTGTGCCGGAACAACAGTCTAAGCTATGGTTCCGACAAATGGCTTCTGGTCTTCATTATCTTCACGGAAAGAATATAGCACACCGGGACTTGAAGTGCGAAAATATTTTACTTTCTCGTAAGTTCAATGTAAAGCTTGCGGACTTCGGCTTCGCAAGGTATTGCATCGATCACGACGGCAGAAGGGTGCTCAGTCATACCTATTGCGGATCGGCAGCTTATGCGGCACCGGAAGTCGTATCTGGGACACCCTACAATCCCAAATTAGCAGATGTCTGGTCCCTGGGAATTATACTTTTCATAATGCTTAACGCATCCATGCCTTTCGATGACTCGAATTTACGAAAGCTTCTCAAGAATCAAATGTCCAGAAACTGGGTATTCAGATCCCGTGTAAAGGACACAGTTTCTACCTTGGCCAAGAGTATAGTTAAGCATATTCTGGAACCAGACATAACATTAAGGTTCACCTTAGACAGGGTACTAAACCATGAATGGATCAGAACCAAAAAGGATAAGAGTGGATCTCTGGTTGGTAGACTGGTACATTCTGCACCGCCAATTCATCCTCAAGTAATTATACTTTTTATAATGATTCATTTAACATAGATTTGATCGCTACTATGATATTAACTCAATAGACGAATGGTGGTGGTGGATTAAACGGAGGGGGAACAACAGCAACCGGAAGTCCCCCAACAATTCCTAGAATAGGTCTGTCAGGGTTTAAAGGTATAGAGAATGCTAGTCAACCGTCTACTATGAAAAGCATAGACAATCCAGGAAAGGAATCATCTAATCAGTCACCGATAACTGTTGAGTGATGAATACAAGTTTTCTAATGATTTTATGTGAAGCATTGATAGTCGATGTGAAAGTTAAAGGAATACGACCCGCATCTAGTCATCACAAAGATTCTATATTTTTCAAGAATTTCACTTTGTAAAATATTAATTATTCATCTGTATACAAATGGTAATTTTTGCTAATATATAATGTCGAAATAAAGATTGAACATTCTTGGGAAGTGATAATAACGAATGAAAATTATTGGTGAAAACGTAGTCTTATATCTTTCTTATTTAATAGATTAGCTATAATCATGTAAATTGTGATAGTGAAATGTGTACAATTTGCAGTGAAATTAATTGAATACATAACATAAATCATATGCATTTTAAAGTGGTGAAATATCAAGAAATATGATGGAGATGTAAGAATAATTAGTACATATTCCCGTGTACATTAATAATAATTACGTTTATTATACATCTATCGTCTATTAATATACAAAACTATAATTTTTGGTTACATATACATATATAATAATATAATATTGTGTAGATAGTGTGTAACGGTACAAGTAAATATTTTTTATTATATATAGTTTACATTAAAATAACAAATAATTTACACGATCATTTATGTTTCTTCGCCGGACGGAAGATAATTTCGTCCGGTCTAGCACCGTTTTGTGATGTTGAAAATATATTTATCCGGACGAACTTAACTTGTAGTCCTACAGAGCAGTTAACACCTAATTAAAATTATGGGCTTCAATTTGAGGTTGGGAATAACTGTAAAAATATTAGTTCGCAGTTTTATTTTGATATCTTCAATGCATTGCTATAATTAAAACGTGCTTCGATAAAGGCACGATAAATTCTCCTTATAAGGTATCATGTGCGTGTTTTAGATCCATATAGCTAAATATAATGTGTCACGATGTGTAATGTGTAATTACCTTCCTAATTTCTTCATTGACTATCAAAAGACTTTTTTACTTCCGCCAACTTTGATATATTAGGATTCATCGTAAATCCATTAGTCGGTGATAAACACAATTAAAAGTATTTAAAAATCTTGTAAAAGATCGTTGACCTGCGTGTGTCATTATCTATGAAAATATTATAAAATCTATATTGTGGGAGGACTACGATTGACGCGTTCTACGGTACTGTTTTTTCTATGTACAAGCACAATTTTCAACACCGCCCAATTAAAAGATCATTAACATTAAGTATTTCCACAATCGTCAGCCACCAAGGCAGTTATCCGCGAGGCACTGAAGTAACGAACCTCCACTTTAGACACGTTTATTTTCCCCTGGTTGTTAACTACTCAGAAAAATGCATTCCAGCCGGTGCGTGCGCGTTACGCAGATAAAGGCAAATGCGTCGAGAGGCACGTGATTTTTCCATGGGACTTTCCTAAACCCAGCCACCAGTCAATTTGTGGAACATTTCTTCGTTCAGCGTCTGGTTTGCTTCCTTGGAACGCATTGACAGGAAGATATAGCCTCCAATGAATTCGTGGACGACCTTACAGTCGGCAGATTGGCATTCGAATATTATATTCTCTTCTTCAAATTGGACCATCATGTGCTTCACTTCCCAATTAACATTCCATGCCTGTGCAAGTGTTTGACAGTTGGTATTACATGATTTTCAAAGAAATGCGACAATTAAACACAATCAATTTTTTTTTTATCGTACCTTCATGGTATTGTACCTCCAGGTCTTGAGATGATCCCCACTGTTAAGGTCCATACGCATAAGTCTGTTATTAGCAATTCCTAGAAGTTCATCCTTATTTTTTCCTGTGAATCTGACAACAAATAAGGAGATTCCATATTCCGGAAGAGATTGCCAGGCTTTGATATAATTTAATTTGGCTTCGACTAAATGAAGATCTTTAACGTTAGCGTGTGCCTCCAGGATTCTCTGGACCAACTGTAAAAGCAAAGATTACGTGATAATTTCAGACACACGAATACATTATTCTAAGTAAACATTCTCCATGACCAGCATACCTTGCCCTTGAACTTTTTAGCAAATCTCGGAGCAACGTAATCCTCGGGCGTGATGTCAAGAGAATTTGGATTGATGGCAGGAGCAGGTGCAGGCCTCTGCAGCTGCAGGAAGGCTATGATACTGTCAACTTCGCTTTCATAGGATGCATCTGCCAGCGTACGACCTTTCGCAGCCAATCTGCAGGCAGCCATCCATTTTGCGTATTGTTGTTCCTGACAGAAGATGATTACCAATAACATATATCCAATTCAAACTGTTATCATAAAAGTTGCTTATCTCAAAAACTTACCGTATCGCATCTGATCCATATTTCAGTCATTCCCTCGGCACTGGGTACTTCCAATCTGATTCCATAACGTCCCTGAGAGAGATGAACATCAGGAGTGACCTCACAGCCTCGGAGATTGATGATGTGTGCTGGTTTTTCTGAACTGTTGGTATCCTCCTTAGTCTTGTACAGCCTCAGCTGAAGATCCCGACAGGTGAACCAGTATCGCTTAAATGCCTTAAGTGTGAATCTTTTGGGTTTCAGGAAGCGAAGATAATCGCAAAGTTCCGGAACCTGTGTTATGTCACTTGGACTATTATTGATATTGCTACCCTCAAGGGTAACCTGAAGATCTGTAAGGGCTGCATCAATATCATCCTCGACCGGCGAGGACGCTCCGTTACTGTCGTAGCTCGGCTGTGGCACGCTGGCTTGAAGGTTGACTTGCACCTGCGAGGTTAAATAGTCCATGATATGTAATGACATCAGGTAGAATATTTTTTAGTAGTTGCTACGTCTGCGACCTCCTTTTATCGATATTGTCCCGTTGAGTCGTGAGTAGGAAGTAACATACGAAAACATCGTGTGGGAAGAACATAGTAGGACAGTACGCGTCATAGTAGTTAGATCCAGATAGAGCCTAGGTACACGTAGAAGGAAAAATCGCGCGTCCAATAATCGGCTTCGCGGTATCTAGTTCTTTAACATGCGCTATGCGAGTTTCAGAAATTTTTCCTGTTATCACTTAGGTGGATTCTTAGACGAAGAAGCGTATGGGGACCTCGGGAGACTTGATGTTTAAATCGCGGAGTTACGTACTTTCGGTGCTCACTAAAATTATCCCGCGAAACAACTTTAAGAATTCTCATACCTGAAGTGCAGCAAACATAAGCATCTCTTCTTCTGTGCAGTCGATCTCTTCGGCTAGTAGTTGCCACTTGGCCTGCTCGTAAATCATATTGATCCTGACCGCATCGGTCTTTGGGTTAAGATCGTAGAACGAGTAGAACTTGAACTTCAACCTGAGAGTATCATACTCCCGGATGCCCTGTTCCATGATGGAGAGTGAAGAGTCCAGCCATGCCACATTCATTCTCGCCCGTTCTACCAGCGTCTTTGGCCTGATCAGCTTTGAACGGATATCCGGAGACACGGTTGTCGGACTCTGAGCTAAGGATTCCGTTAATCCACCATTCAGAGCCTCCAGACTCATCGTGCTGTTGTTAGCATTGAATGATCCTGTGCTACCAAAACCCGAGGAGTTGTTGTTCTTCTTCCATGTACCGGGTTGCTATAAAGTCATAATTGCTTGTTGATTTACTTTCCCCATATATTCGTATGATCGATCGTCCTACGTGGTAATTATTTTTATGTGTAATACTCACGGAAACAGGAGAGCTGATCGGCGTGCTGTGGTTCCTGTTGGTAGGAGTAACCGGTGCGCACATAAACGGACTACTTTGATCGAGACTATCCGTTGAGCCTCTGGGGCTCTGGCTTACTGGGATGAAGGTGTTTGTGTCAGCTGGGACGTTCCAGTGGCCGTTTTTCTGATTCTCAATTTTCTTTTTCGCCGGTAGATCCTTTAGATTGTACTTGAGGTGATTGGGCTCCAGGGGCTTGCAGAAGGACAGCTCTTCCGGATGCCTTATACCTGAGGAAATACATTTGAGATGTAATACGTAAAAATGGGTAAATTGACAAAACACACTGCCGCCATTATACACTTTCGCAAATTGTCGACTAAGCGAATGACCCCAGGGAATTTTGTGTAAATACAAAAGATTGCGGAGCATTTCTATATACGTTTATGACGCAATGAGGTTATCCACTCGGATCGTCTCTGCTCATACAAGGAAGCGAAAAGACGGCGTAATTAGTTGCTAAGAGTAATTGCCAACCATGTAACAGTTTTTGTTCTTAAAGGACGAGAACTACACAAGAGATAGTTTAACCCTGGGGAAATTTTGTTGTCAATTGGCTCCCTCTGCGTTTCACTTAGAGCAGGAAATTACGGTGGTTCTGTGTAGGCGTAACGTTTGAACTATTATGACGAGTTATCAGACCCTATGGAATTCACGAGTCGTTCTAATTAGATATCGACTTTACTAAGATACAAGACCTAAGAACGAATCACTTGAAATATATATATATATATATATATCTTTTAGCAGCTGACTACTTCCCATGTGCTATTTTCTCGTTAGAACAATTAGCATATCCCCGGGTACTTCCTTGATTAAAAAAGAACCAGCCTCTTTTAGCAGCTGACTACTTCCCATGTTTACTAAGATACAAGACCTAAGAACGAATCACTTGAAATATATATATATATATATATATCTTTTAGCAGCTGACTACTTCCCATGTGCTATTTTCTCGTTAGAACAATTAGCATATCCCCGGGTACTTCCTTGATTAAAAAAGAACCAGCCTCACGGTGATAAATTTAAAGGTTTACAGTCTGAGTGACCTTCGCGTGACCAGCATTGGAGTTTATGGTTTCGTTCATCATGACGAATAATTATGAAACAAAAGTCACCTGTCCTGCGGTGGGCGATACTCCGTCAGATACCAAGAGTCATTACGTTCTTCGTGCAGACTCGCTTTAATTCAAATGCAAGGTCGCTGCGGCACGTGTATAATACGACTTCCACGCGTTGCTCAAGGTTGCATAATTAAATTAATTATTTCATTCACGAGAAGCATGAACCGCATGGACTCACCTATTTCCTTGCAGAGGTTGATGACGGCATTGAAGGTCTTGACGGAGAAGTCTACCCTGCAATCTAGACACCTCATGTCTGGAAGTTGTACCCGCAGAGTCTTATGCATCGGAGTGAAGTGAAGCAGCGCATCGGCTGCAACTCCATACTGATCCAAAGTGCTTCTTGTTCTGGTCAGCCACTGATTTCGCGTTGGCCACCACAAGGCATGATCCGACCAGTCCATGGCGATATCTGAAACAAAAATTGAAGGTTAGATACAGACGACGATGGTGGTTAGTCATAGCGGTGAGACTTGGATATTTTGGAGGGTGGTGCACTTAGGAGGTTTCAATTAACAAGACAAAGAAGCGTTCCAGAAGAGTAACAAAGCATCGGGGAGACCCGTGTTTTTTTCAACTGCACTAGAAGTCTACTAGACGGAAACTTATGGAGGGAAGAGAATGACAGGAGGGAATCGATGTCTTTCGAAGAGTGCCGTGAGGGCGCGTCCCCTAATTTTATTACTTGGTTAAAAAGAGGGTCCCGCAGACGCGAGGAATGTCAATCCTTAACGATGGCGAGGAAAGTTTCCCTCGAAGTGATTTATCCCGCCACCAGGAAAAATACGGGCTCATTTATACCAAGGTTGATTTTCCTCAGCATCATGGACCATTTCTTGAGTATTTCTGAGACGGTCTCGCCGCCGCGTAAGAATGTTATTCTAGCCGCAGAGAGACATCCGGGACATGTGCGCTAGGATTTGTCGGATTTCGTGGTCACATCTGTTTGCCCGTCTCACAGATTTACGTACGAATGGGCAAGAAGCGTCCGGTTCGCCGTGATCTTAGGAAGTTCACAAATTACACGTCGGAGAGTAATTCAAGTGACGGGAATGAGATCGCGTCTTCAAAGGTAAGGTACGCCCATAAGGAGTGAAAGAAAAAAAATGCTGGAGAATAGCAGGGAACTTCCGAACGTTTGTTACATGGCCGTCGAGGACAATTTGAAAGACGAGAATCTAAGGGTAGCACGTTCACCCTTCGGCATACATATGCGTAACATGGGCACATAACACAACATACTTTTGTGTTCGCACCACGTTTCATTGTGTTCATCCTCCTCGCGAGCGACACTCCTAAGACCCAAGAGACAACCCTTACAACTCAACAAGGGTGTCGGGTAGCTCAAGGGTTTCATCCACTCGTCTTCACTCAGACGAGAAAGCAGTTCATTCGCTCAGAGGAAAATCCTTCGACTTCCTAAGGAAATATTGCTCCCAGTTGAAATTTAGTAGTCGGTATACTCGCTACGTGCTAGCAAGCCATACAGATCTCATCCGAATTGTCACAGCTGCCTTGGCCCGGGCAGCCTTACTTTTGACGCGGTCAATTTAACGATTTACCCAGAAAACCCGGTGGTAAGGTCGAATTCACTCCCAGGCGAAAATGGCTGCCATTTAGCCTCCCATTAGCCGGGGCATATGGTGCGGTCGGCATATGCAACGCGATTATTGGCGCATCCGACGGGCACAGTGGCTGCATTTAGAAGTGCATTAGGCACGACCCTTCGAAAGGCACACTCGAGCATTCTTACGGGCTAGAAGGTACGGGGGAC